GTGTGTGTGTGTGTGTGTACATATATATATATATAAATATATATATTATATAATAATAATAATAAAAACGTACACACAAACATAAACCCACATGCTTTTATGTATATATGAGTTAATTGTAATGTATGATTACAAGCGTGAATAGTTGTTTAACAAATAAAGTGCGAGACTCTCTCGCCCGAAGAGTACAGTTCGAGGTAGTTTAGGCATGAGGGGTTGGTTGGAGCTGCAGATGAAATCGTAATGTAAGGAAGAAATGGCCGTATAATCTATACCTGGGGAGGGAGCCGACGGAGAAGATCCAAAGCTCGATCTAGTTGTTCATCTGACATCTTGTATAGCTAGTATTACGTAAACAATAGTGCTGTGTATATAATGGATATCTGCGACAATTCTGTCTTATCACATACCATAGTAGAATTTCATTATTTTTGCTTACTTCTATATAAATACACCGTGATCCGACAAGTATTTTGGTCTTTTGACTCAGTAGTGATGAAGGTGATAAATTCAGATTTGAAATAAAAACACATAAATTGATACTTGACAAAGTGTCGTAAATTATTGATTTCCTATTTTTTAGAAAAGTGCCTCATTTTTTAATATGTTCTATTTTCAGAAGGCTGTGATAAATAGTTACATCCTGACTTTCTCTGGTATTTTTATATACATATAATTTTCGAATAGATTTCGACATGGCAGATGATAAATACAAAATGTTATATTCAAAAAAGAAAACAATCGAAAATATAAATAGATAGAGTGCATAAATGGTACAAACCCCGATTATGTGGATCATTTTGCGCTCTATGTATTCACAAATACGCACTTCCTCTTGCCCGTGCGCGTGTACTTTGCAACGTGTGTTCTATAATACATCTCAGCTGTACAGTACATGTGTATTATAACTACCAATTTCCAACATTAATCCCTCGACTGATGGAGTTCTTGCTCGTTATTGCTCGTTATTGCACAGTAAATCACTTATTCAGTTGTTCCCTTTACGATTAATTATAAGTTAACAGGTGTCAATAATAATACGATTTTTTACTCGAGAATGACTATGTTATATGTAACGGATCCATCATAAGGCTATGCTATAACGTATGTTGTATATTAACCAACTGATGACTCAAAATTACGTGTGCGAAATCTTGAACTGATTTGGATTCAGTTTGCGTTACTCTTCTACACAATATTTGCTTCTGAATTTGTGAGGCTGCAAGCTTCATCCAGCTTTCACTATGGAGCGTCTCAATTAGCTCACTTTCTTTGCTCATGCCAAAAGCATTGGTTTGTGGCAACTCTAGTCTTGATCGCGCACTTCTCCCAGTGATTATAGAAAACTTCACGAGTTCATCTTCTTCTGCATAATCTTTTTTAGGTACAGCTGCTCCTGAAGAGAATTTTCTTAGTTTTTACTACGAGTACTATAGACTAGAGGAATACAAGTGTGTAAATATTTCAGCATGTGTTCTACATCAGTGTTGATAGCTCATATAAAATGTTTTGAGTACAAGGTACTAGCCCAGACTGATTTACGTGCACATTGCTAAAATGCATAATCTTGCAATATCTATTCAGTGACAAGGGTATTATGTGCAGGCTATAGCCTTCACCATAGTAAACTGAACATCTTTATCTCAGAATAGAATAACATTTTGCGGCGAAACCTTTGACTAAACTTTACCTGTTTGTATGTACCAGTGTTATATGCCCTGCTGTGCCTATAAGCTTGTACAACTTGTCACAGACTGGTAGAGATGAACCAGAAGCTGTGGTTGAAGACATATCTATGACGATTTATATTTTGCGATTTATATTGAATTGTATACGAGAGAGTTTTCTTCTGTATCGAGGCAAGGGAGGCATATAAACTATCAGTGTTCATCTTATTTTGTACTATCGACTGTTAACTACCTATGCAGTTCGTTCACTGTGAGAGATACGGTCTGTGTCAATATCATACCCTTGACTGCATCGGATAGTTATATTTTACTATCACTATTATAAGATGATGGTCATGATTGCAGTCATATAATATTTTTTTACTCTAGTTCTGAGTAGAGACAAGTCTGAGAAATAAACACTCATTTGAGCTTTTTTCACTCTAAATACTGTATATACTCTACACTCTTGACTCTACGCCCTACGGTCTGACTATTTCTAGTATTTTGGTACACCCGAGTGACCCGACCCCACCAGTTCTAACATACTGCATGAAACTTGAAAAGTTGAAAGTGTATGACTGTATCATACATATGTGTACATAGTTTGTAAAAACAGTGCGGACTATGATTTGGTTTATATTAGACCCTGGGCCTGAGCCCTGAGGGGTTAAATAGGGACAGCCGGCCGCGCGCGAGCGGCTTAGGCGCCAGGGCCAGTGGCCAGTGCCCAGAGGCAGAGGGCGGACCGGCGGAGGCCCCATCGGATAGTGTATTTACTGTTTTATCGATGACATTTTAAAAATGTGTAAATTCATGGCCTTCTAAATGTATGAGATTGCTGATATATTGTAAAATTGTAGTAATTACAGTAAACGGGGACATGGTGGATTGCCGGATTGGTGGTTGTGCAAAACTGTAAATTCAACGAATGACATTTGATTGTTCGGTTACTAAGCCGTTGTCTAATAGAAATCTCTGAAAATTCCATTTTTCACTCGCAAAACAAGAATAAGCCGACCTAGTTATTAGGTTACTTTTTAAATTTCTGGCAAACATTTATTCCCTATTTTGACAAAAATCGGAATATTTTTGCCTCTTGCGAAATCGTACGACGCCAACGGCAATTGGCTTTACAATTGGGAGACTCAAATGTTTAAATTAAAATGGGATTTTTCTGAAACATCATTTAGGAAATTTTATTTTTCGAATTGTTGTCCTTCCTGCGTTGTCTTGTATATTTCGCGATTTATTGATATGTTTTTATAAATCCACGAGGCAAAGTTCTCCAGATTGGTGGGATATGCTTTAACCATTATCCATTGATCACGACAGCGAACGTAATATCCAATACAACAAGAGCATTAGGATTTTAAGATCCGGAAGACGAGTCAGAATGTCCATTCGCCCATGAGAATGTCAATTCTTACAATATTGACATAAAATACATATTTTCTGTACTCTTTCGAAACAGATAACGATCTTCTGTTGTAAATTGTATGTCTCCGACAAAACAAACAAGGCCTTTCAAAGTTCACCCCCCAGAGTGAAAAGGTGAATGATATCAAATTTGTGGTATATATACACGAACAACTGAGAAAAAAAATCATTCCCACCACGCATACACAATACAATAGTACAGGATGTTGGCCCAACAATCATCTAACGCGGGTATTCCCGACACAGTCAAGACTATCTGCTGTATTGGTGCAGGATATGTCGGAGGACCTACTATGGCAGTTATTGCCTACAAGGCGCCTCACGTGAAAGTCATTGTCGTCGATTTAAACCAGGTATGGTTTTAACAGAAATCAAAGAAAGAATGTGCTGATTACGTATGCAAGCACATACGTCCAAGTCAGATAGGCTATGCATTTTATAAGGCAATAGTGCAGAAGAATTAGAATACAAGCTAAATTTCTGTATACATTTATGTGTTATGAGAATGCGAAAAACTTTCTTGTGTAGCCAGCTTGTGAAAAATAACTACCCTAATCTTGAATCATACTCATCCTCATCGTGTAGGCACGTATCGACGCGTGGAACAGTGATAAGCTGCCCATCTACGAGCCAGGACTTGACGAGGTTGTCAAGGCCAGCCGTGGCCGCAACCTTTTCTTCACCACTGATGTAGATGCGTCTATCAAGGAGGCAGATGCGATCTTTGTATCTGTGAACACACCAACAAAGACCTTCGGAATGGGCAAGGGTTGCGCCGCTGATCTTAAATACCTTGAGAGCGCTGCTCGTCGCATTGCTGAGGTGTCCGAATCTGGAAAGATCGTTATTGAGAAGTCCACAGTACCCGTAAAGTCTGCGGAAGCTATCCGAGCCATTCTAACCGCGAACACCAAGTCCAAGTGTCGTTTCACCATCCTATCTAACCCCGAGTTTTTGGCTGAAGGTACCGCCATCCCTGATTTAATGGCTCCTGATCGTGTGCTTATCGGTGGTGATGAGGATGAGGATGGCCAGAAGGCTGTCAAGGCGCTATCAGCTGTCTACAACAACTGGGTGCCTGCCGAACGTATTATTACTACCAACACATGGAGTTCCGAGCTTTCAAAGCTTACTGCTAACGCCTTCTTGGCCCAGAGAATCTCTTCCATCAACTCCATCTCCGCTCTGTGCGAGGCTACCGGTGCTGATGTCGATGAGGTCGCAAACGCTATCGGCAAGGACACACGTATTGGATCCAAGTTTTTGAAGGCGAGTGTAGGATTCGGTGGCTCATGCTTTCAGAAAGATATCCTCAACCTGGTGTACCTGTGCAAGACATACAACTTGCACGAGGTTGCCGAGTACTGGCAGCAAGTAGTAGACATTAACGAGTACCAGAAGAAACGTTTCTCACTCCAGATCGTGCGCAGTCTATTCAACACTGTCACGAACAAGAAGATTGCCATTATGGGATTCGCCTTTAAGAAAGACACCGGAGACACTCGCGAGTCTGCCTCCATCGACGTCATTAAGTACTTGATGGATGAGGGTGCAAACATTGCTATCTACGACCCCAAGGTTGAGGAGTCCCAGATCGACATGGATCTCCTACCCCCAGGAGTTGATGCTAAGGCATCCGCTAAAGTTAAAAGCTTGTACACTATCCACACCGACCCCTACGAGGCCGCCAAGGATGCTCATGCCATTGTTGTGTGCACCGAGTGGGACGAGTTTAAGACTTTCGACTATCAGGTAATTTAGCCTTTCAATTTTTCTATAGTCTGTTGCGTTTTTCCAGGTGTGATGCGTGTTTGGCTGAAACTAAAACCGTTTGTACTCACAACAATGTATTTTGTGTATCATGCATGTTTTTATAATCAAGTGTCAAGTAGCAACATATTAAACACATAATAACTGACAAACCTTCTCCCGGCTACAGAAAATCTACAACGATATGTACAAGCCCGCTTTCTTGTTCGATGGTCGCAAGATCCTAGATATCGAGGCTATGAAGACTATTGGATTCCAGGCCTCTGTTATTGGCACAAAATGTTAAGTCTGTTGCCAAAACAGGGACTATTCCAATCCAATTGAAGATATCAAAGTCGGTCATTTGAAACGGTTATTTAAAGCATGTGAGGATAACCCCCCCCCCCCCCCCCCAACGTGTATGCAGCAAAACGCAGCGTATCTGTACGTTTATAGGCGCTGTCGAGGAAGCTAATTTAGTACTATTGAGAGCACTTTGGTAAGATTTTAATAAAAGTCGCTCAATTTGTGTTCCCGCGCGTAACTCTTTTTGAGTTCACCTTTATCGAAAGAAACAAACTATGTATTTACTATTTCCGTTTCCTCAGCGTTCGAAATCGGTTGAACTCATGAACAAGTTGCTGTGTTGTTGTGCGTCAAACAGACGATACTACGTACTTTGACAGGCATAGCCCGTGGAATACATCTGCGCTGATGTGCTTTGAATGACACCTTCATCAAAACTAAATTATCCTACGGGCAACGTGGTGATGTATGCTATCATCTATGTTAGCTCCAAGGTTTTTAAAAGACACAACGAACCAATATTTGTATACAATACTGAATCAAATGTGAGACCAACAATGCAAAACCATATCGATTACCACGCGAGGTGTGTCGGTGTACCAAATTAGAAGCCACATTGGAACCACAACACATGTAAGTGTGCCAGTGGTACAACGGGTTTGATGTCGTAACATGAACGATCATCGTTTATAGTACGTAAATATGTACAGCTCATAAGGAGAATCATCAGCGACTCGATGCGTATTTTGAACTGCTTCACGCATTTTTAAAACTTGCCCTTCTACTTAAAATACCGACGTACTCGAACTATCTATCTCTAGTGAGCACTACTAGCACTCCTAATCTTGCTCCTTTGTGATAGATCACAGACGACGCTAACACTCGGAAAGGACCGAATCGTTAGAGCAACAAAATGCCGTAGAATATATAGTAGACTAAATGTACGGCTCTTACCGCCGTACTTAAAGTATCGGAAGTGGTGGGAACGAATATAACAATTGCGATATTATCGCAATTAAAATGTGTAGATTCCAGAATGATTTCATTTACTTATATTATCATAATGCATTTAAATAGTATGTACTATTGCTCTAAATAGTATTTTAGTACATATCACTGATGAATACTCCAAACATATTACAAAACTTATTGCTTTAAAATTTACTAAAAATCAATCGAATGAGAATATGCGAGTTGTGGATGACAATCAAATATCTGCATACGAAGTCGTAGGTGTACTATTATGATATCAAGGCGAGTGTGATTGCTGACAAGGCAGATAAAGAACATACTCATAAAGCTAGGAAGGAATCAAGAGACAATAATGGATCTACAAGGAATTGATACCCTGACGGCAATGGGTTTCTCGCGTGAACAAGCCATCCCTACGTTGATTGCTGCGGTGAGAATTCATTTGTAATTCTTATTAGTTATATTCCGAGATGTGACTTTTGAATATTACAGACGATCGTGGAGTGCACAGCCATTGTCGATATATACTAATGTATAGGCAACTAATGCCATTTTGAGTTACAAGATTTGAGTTGTCTGAGGCAGTATTTCATAGGCACTTTCCGTTTGGTGAATCCTGACTTTTTTTTCACTACCATATAATAGTGATGTACTGTCATATCTATATTCTAAACATACATATATATGCACCTCTATATATATATATATATTGTAGTGTGTGTGTGTGTGTGTGTGTGTGTGTGTGTGTATATATATATATATATATATATATTATGTATGCATATTTGTATCTACCAACTCTGGGATGCATTAAGGTTTGTTCTGCGTGGGAATGGTTGTTGGAGATTTCGCATGTACTCTTCACTCGTCAGTCCCAGATTTTTTAATAACAACATATAAATATGTGTTGTGAACACGTACAAGTGCGCACACTCACGGTCGGAGAGTAATTTCCCAGCAACACTAGGGCTTGGATTAGTGAAGCATATTATTTTCTGCTGTCTTTTTATTTACGTCCGTACTCGTCATCAATGACTTTTAATTGATAGCTAGCACATGTTTTTGACTTCTCCCAAGACAATGTGGTGCTGTATGTAGCCGTAAACCCAGAGTGAGTTCACTCACTATTGGCGCAATTTGTTTTCATAACAACAGAACAACGACCTTACCGTTGCGATCTCACTACTGGTCGATCAAAGTATGTCAATCGAAGTCGGGTGCCCATGTGCGTGAATCAAGTGTTTGTGGTAGGTGAATGCCCTTAAATCAATTTTTTTACTGTTCATAAAGAAACCGCTGCCGAGCTATGGAGACTGCTATATACCCATTTACACCGTATAATATTTTGTTAGGAGCTTCACTCCAATTATTTTGAGACAATTTCTTGTGTGGGGATTGGTATTTCGACGCCAAATCGGGTACCATGCTCCAATTTTATGTTACGGGCCTCACATGAACTCTTGTGTTTAGAATGTCTCATATCGCAGCTTTCTATTTGGTTGTTGACTATGAAGGTCAAGCCCATTCCGCTCGAAGCACAGATACGGCTGGGACTATATTGAACACTGAAAAGAAGAAGAAGAATGCTATGGAGTATCCACCTCCGCCTTACGGTGAGTATAAGTTACCGGTTAGTTTGGTATTCGCGCAGTCTCGATTTATGACCTAAGCCTAACACAAAACCACAGATGAATTTAACACATTACATACATTTGTCATGTTTAACTGTATGCAGACACGTCCAATGTTCCACCGGCATACCCGGTACACTCCCCACCAGAATCCCATGATTTTGTCGACCTATTACCCGCCGATGCACAGAAAGTGTGTTCAAAGCTGGCAGAGGATTCTGTCGCTGCAAATATCAACTTAAAGTGTCCCAGATACAAAGCACAGCAAGTAGACTTACCCAAGTACAGGCCACCTCCGAAGGAGGGGAATTGTGCGAAGTGTTTCAATACAATTAAGTCAGACGAGCCCTCAATGACACTCACCGGTCAGCATCTGCACTTGTTATGCTATGCGCAGAGGATAGCACCGAAATGTTCCCATTGCCACGATGCGCTGGTGCCTGATGCGCGCAAGGTAGGTACTAAACTATCTCATACGGTAAATAGTTGCTCTTTTACGTTCGAGGTAGTAATCAATTCAGTGGTAGTTGGGTATTTCTTCAGCTGTTCCTGTTCTGCACCTTGCAGTATTGTACAATTGCGGTCAAATGATGATACTCACCGTTCCCAGTAGCCTATGCTGATACGCTTCCCAATGAGAACACCGTTCTAGAAAACTTCTGTTTCAGTGCCTGCTTTCGAATGTTTTGCTCATGCACACGGTTGAGTCGAGACGCACCCACGAGAACATGGCCTATGGATCATGATATTTGGGTAGTTCCGCAGCCGCAATTCGATCGTATCATAAGCGCGTATTTCATAATCGTAGTAGGGTTGATCACCTGCCTGATCGTTTTTAATCGCAGCAGGTAATTTCCTTTTTTCAAATCAGAATCGTACCGGCCGATGGGTTCCATTAGACGAGACGTTGGGCAACAGAGTGCACGAGGTGAGCAAGAAGAGCTGCTTTTAGACGATTTGTGTGTAGAATATCGCGATTCAATTTTGCACGAACATTTTAGTCTTTGGAATATATCACCAAATACTCTTCCGGATAATTCTATTTTTGTTGTAGAAGTTCATTCGACACATTTCCAAAATGTGATTGACACGCGTTGGTCAATACATACTCATTGTGTATTGTAACGGTCACACAAGTTTTTACATCGGGTAATAGGTGCCGCTTTTAGTTACCTGTTTTCTGGAATAAGAGGTAAAATACCTGAGGTCTATTCATTTGCATTGCGCTATACATGTCACTCACAAGCAAATGCTTGACTTCTTTGCATGACCCAACACAAGAACCGGATTATCAGTACCTGTGCACATCGTTCTGACATTGTCCCTCTCCCGATTGTCACAGGAGTGTTATCGATTAAGCGGTCCGCGATGTGTACATTGTTACGATGTCATCTATCAAGCCCCAGAGAAGAACCGGTCGGGCGATTGGGTGTACACAGACCCTCCCACAAATGAACGAAAGGCACACTTGGTAGGTGGTGCACAAATTATGCAGACTAGATGGCTAGATCTAGACATTGTATACACACACTTTTGCACGCCACCTATACATACGCGCGCACTGTGTGTGCTATACTTCGTGTTCTATCGTGATAGTACACGACCATATGCAACTCCTCAATAATTCTGGTATCACTACATCAGGTGTGTTTGTCAAATGCGGCACGCACACGCCCGTTCCGTCCATGAAATTCATCGCGAGATATTTTTCATGGCTGTGTTCGATTTCAGGTTGCGCGTAACGTGTGAGACTCTGCTTGTATTTCGCAAGCTTTATGCCCTCAGGTCCCCAACCTGTATGTATTGTCCATCACAGATGACATATACACTGTGTCGCCTTTGCTTTTACTCGGTACAAACTATGGGACGTCTTGTCCCGCATGTAGTTTGTCTGGCATCCCTCTGGTGATATCAGCCTCAATTTAAACTGTCAGCTAATGGTTCATATGCGTGTGCTGTTTTTGTTATTTCCGTGCGCATGCCTCAATGTGCTTTCATCAAAATTGGACTTTACACAAATCATGACGGTACTATTTCTTTGCCCGGAAACAACCGTTTACTTGAGATATTAAAAGAGGATTCTCATGTTTCGCAGTATATTCCTGAATTGCGCATATTGATCGGTGCTCACTGTCGATGATCTTCATACCTCATTTCTATTGCATTTGGGGCTTTATGGGAAAAGTGCGTTTCAGTATTCCTTGGTCACTTCCTTTGTTCACACAAACCCATCGTCGTGTGTTTTGTTTTCAATCACCAGGAGTGTTGGCATCGTTTTAATAGAGACAACGTGCTCGCGAGGTGATACACGCTTTTCAGAGTGGTTTGGGCCACAGAGAACAGAAAACAACTTTGATTGCTGTTACTGAAAGCGGAAGTATGAGAATCTCGTGGTACTACAGACTGGCAAATATGGCCCGGATGTGCAACACGCCAGACAACGGAAATATTCTGGCTGAAAGAAACGTTCAGATGTAGTTCTTTACAAATTATGCGTGTCTCTGAAATTTAATGAAGATGCAGATGCAGCCGTGCACTCATAATATATAGCAATCCAGAAGGATATGTAGTAGCGGTGGTCTGCATGATGACCACGTGTGTATATGACACAAGAATGATGGCCTGCATGCTACTTAATGAATTTTCTGTCGGGGTCTGCAATTTGACATAATCGGTAAGCACTCCCATACTCAGATACCATATTTCAGGCGTGAGGTTCAGTTTTATTTTCAAAACGCAGAAACTGGACTTGAAATAACACCAATTTTAATACTATATACCATTAATAAAAGTATGTATATGCAAACATATTTTATTTATGCAGTATGTGGCAATTACTTATTTATTTATGTATGTATATATATAATATAATATTTACGTATATATGTGCACATATATGCACACACATATCAATCCATCTACATGCATATGCATGTGAAAATGCACAACGTATCTTTCAAAACAAATCCAGAGACCTCTATCATTGCGGGCGATACAGTTGCGAGCACGTAGCTAGCCAATTATTATGTATTTGACCGTCAGCTACAGAATTTATCGGTTGTTTCATGAAATTCAGTTGCATCTAATTTATGTTCGGACTTCTAATGGCGTATTGGTCTTCGAAGACTTATCAATCGGCATCCCCAATGAAGAGCGTCTGAAACGCCTGTTCATGTAGATCGATATCTGAGCACTTACCGAGACGCGTCGCGATTCTCACGGCCAGTAGGTGTTTGCACTGTCAAAATGGAGTAGAGTATATGCAGTATTACATTATGTCCGTTAAAATTGTCGGACATACAAATATTGGCGTCAGATATCGCAAGCAAGCTTCCACAGTGCTATTCATCACACTGATAGCGACGATATAGTGGCTGGAAGTCATTCTGTATTTGTGTACCATGCATGCCGCGCAACCTCAATTGCTAACAAACACTATTTATAGCAAGTTAAATAAATGTTTGGTCAACCACGGACGCACTGACCATTTGTAAATTTTCCAATTCGAGATATCGCTTGGTCACCGTATGACACTTCTAGCGATACAGCTTCCAGGAACGAGAAAAAAATATGCATAGCCCTCGAGTTCGACACTGCAAGATATAACACATCTCAGTCATGCCGCGTAGTGTTCCTGGTGTAATGACACGAGATACGCTCGCATTCTGCCTATGAACCCTAACACGCATAGAATATAGAAGCGAAATGGAAAACATCTATCACAGGACTATTTATAACAAACCCATTGAACTCAAAAGAAGTGTACTGAACATATTCACACATTTCACTTACGTAAAACGATCTGTCCGTGAGTACGTTAATGGCAAAATCCAAACAGTCACAGAAGTGCTCGCGGATCATTGTGATGTGGAGTCGGCCTTTCAGGGGGCCAGTAACCTGTTTATAGTGGTATATTGAGCAAGCCACAATTAAGAGATGCTGTTAATACAAGATATTTTGTGTTGTGTCCGTAGTTGGATTCACACGAGTGCGCACATTCGAGGATTCTTATTTCACGGAACTGCGAAGTGATATAATCGGTCCACAAGCATGATCCTACAGCATGCACTTGTATGATTGATGCAATCACTCTCGTTCTCGCCGATGATCCGTTGCCTCTATACCGTGGCATATTTCTAACGTGAAGAAACATAAACTTGCGCTCATTGTGTTAAAATAAACTGGCGAATGTTAGTGCGCTTCTATCAGCATCTGACACTCATCACAAACACAAAAGGCACAATGCAAGTGGAGCCTTATATAAAGGATGGAATATAGTGTTCTCAATGAAACGACTTTACTGGGAATTTACTGGAGTACCCCTTATCATCACACTTGGAATTTACAGCCCATTCAGTCCAAACTCCGTTTTGTCTCGGACGCTGGGCGCATATAGCCTTGTCTGAACGCGCAGAGCGGATGTCAATTAATTAACATAATTGTACGCACCTATTTATATACCGCTAAACATTCACATATCCATATGTAAGTGTACGTATTCGTATATACTACTTTATGAACTTGCTCACCTGATACAGTTCACGGTTGTGAGTCGTTCGCACACGCATGGGAGGTCTGAGGTCGACAATTTTGGTGGCTTCCAGCGCGTGATCGGGAAACAAATGATTAAGAGCAAGCAGCGCCTTCGAAGTTTGCTCTGCAAGTAAAAACCCCATAGTGCTTTCAGCTTTGGTACAAAATGAAAACTGCAGATATAGATTGCATTTACCATACTATACGGTGTTCACACGCACAATCTCTGTTGACATTTTACATATGATACTGACGCCTGGGATGCAGGCAGTTTTCAAGGTATAAACATACTGAAGTATTTTCGGGCGTTGCTGCTAAGAATTAGTGGTAGCCGAACAAAAGCGCACACTTCCACTAAGCTTGCATGAACGACGCGTGTTTGACAGTATAATAGCTTCTTTTGGTTGGATGAAAGTCAAGATATAAGGATGAACATCATCACGACTTTCTAATCCTCAGTTGAAGTATCATAATCGATGAAAATGTTGTTGTGGTCCTATCAAACAGGCAATAATATTTCGTGTTACACGTGATATCAATGAGCTGAAGCTCGAGAAGCTACAAGTCCGTCAAGATTACATATCCAGATCTGCAGGTACGTACTTGTAGTTATACCTGACATTATAACTCGCACCCTGAATGATGCCAGCAACTTATCGAATGAACTGAAAGCTCAGCTGATACTTCGTTTACCAGAGACCAGTTTTGTGAAACTACAATATTCACATATACAGGAATATGAAACTGAATCAAAAACCATCCAACAATCCGACAAAAATAAAAAATGTAGAAACCTTTGTACACTCCGTTTACAAATGAATAGAAATTTAACAAAAAGCTCTACATATCTCACTCACTGTAATCCTCAGGAATGTATTACTGGACCCAAATACATACACAGATCCGAAGCATAGAATGTTGGAAACTTTATGCACTACAATAAACTCTGATCCCGAGTCTTCCCTGCATCCACCAACTGCTCAAGCACACCAGCGACGATAGTCGTATGCTAATTACACGTCTTCTGACACTGTCTGTTCACCACACCTATTTATCACGCATGCTTAATGTCGAAACCTTTGTACACTCCGTTCTTAATTACAACAACACATACTTTGATCCTGGGCCTCCACTGCAGCCGCCAACTGCTCAAGCACTCCCGCAATGATAGTCTCGTGTAAACATTTGGCTTCTACGGGTCTTGTACTGCTTTTCTTTAAAATGCTTTGACAGCCTCTCAAACTGATTGTATCAGAGTGTTTCTTGGCCTGCTTCCCCCTAGGCCTAATGTGTGCATTACTGGACCCAAAGTTCACAAATACGGTTTGACGTTTATGTGTATGTATATGTGACATTTTGGAGTTGCGTTGCGGCACAACTACGTTGTCAGTTGTGATACTGTGTCGCGATAGGTGTGTCCGCAATGTTTTTCCCGTTGTTCGACTCATTCGCCTGATTTGATTATATTCTTCTTGAGAGTTCATATCCTTCTTCGCTCCTTAACTGCGATATTCACACGCATTACACACTGCTCTATACTTACTAAATCGCAACCTATGTATATAAAGTTTAGACTCGAGGACACCCATGAAATACTAGCCTCTGCGTCACTGTATTATACGAACTTACGATGTGATTTCTATACTATACTTACTTTATAAGTGGTTTCTGTATTATACTAACTTTTTTCTAAGTGGTTTCTGTGTTATGCTTTCTTCCTAAGTGATTTGGACTAATTGATTACTAAGTGAATGCTGTACTATACTATACTTACTCAGTGGTTGATGCACTAAATACCTACCAAGTGATTGCTGTACTATACTATACTCACTTTTAGTGCTTGCTCTACTTTACTTACAATAAGTGATTGTTGTATTAACTTACCAAGTAACCGCTCTGCTCTAGCCTCTCGGGCCGATAGCACTGGCTCGCTCTGGGCTCTATCGTGTGACTTGATGGTGTGACCTTACAAAGAGGGAAAAGCCCGCCCATTTGGCATTTATCAGTTTAATCTGGTTTAATGTTCGGTACACTTCTTACAACCTGATGGGGATTTGGATTTAAATACGATTGCCATTTGACCCAAATTTTGACGGAATTTCCATAGCCACCTAAAAGAACAATTTCCAACAACAACAAAATCTACCGTCTGTTTTTTTTAATGTTTTTTTTTTGGGTCATTTTTCCCCAAAATACATTATGGCCAGCTCAAGCCTCAACCCTTCAAGGTTCAAGCCCAATAGTCCAACGCCCCAAGAGCAAAGGGCAAGCAGTTATGTACTAACAGTACTATGTACACAGTTACACTGCCAAAGAGCCGCTGCCTCACTGAGAGTGACACTGTGAGTCTGTGACTGGGTCAGCAAGAGTCAGGACACTGACTCGCCCACTCAGGCTCTCCCTACATAGTCCCTTCTTCTATATCATCGATTCGTATGGCGCATGGCAGTCGAAATTAAAGAATTACATAGCCTTCTGAAAATAGAACAAGAGAATTAACCCAAAAAATAAAATACAAATTCACAAAAACTGTTATTTGATTGGAAGATTATGAAAACGGGTGCTCGCGAATTTCGATACGTTCTGTGGGGCTTCCGCTATGCTAGTCATTACTCTTTACCAGGTTTGCAACTATCGCTGTGACCTGTAGCCCGTGGGCCGTGGCATATGAAATACTTACAACATCCTATTGTGCCTGTCTATTGTACAACTGCTAGGTGCAGTACAGTTTATCGACTAGTGTGTTGTATCGAGTGGTATGACTACTATCTCTTATCAAATTGTCTAACAAAGTAGCATTACTTAATACTGAATGGATTATGTATCTTACAATGACTACGGGTGACGTTAATGAAGTTCCAGACCGCAAGAGCGATGGAGCAATTGCAGCTAATGCAGCTGGCGCGACGCCCACAGTATCAGCTTTGAATGATACTTGCAAAGAGAGAGAAAGTAGTGGTACAGCACATGCAGTAGCTACAATTGATCCGACTAGTGATGATAAGAATCCGGTAGATGCTAGAAATCAGAGCGACATATCCAGTGACACTACACGTGCACAACCCATATTAGTTGAGATGGACAACGGTGACAAACCTGATAACCCTGACAAGGCAGCATACCTAGTATGGAAACGCACTCCCAAAGACGCTACGAAGTGTGAGAGGCTAAGAGACTGGCTACTGTATGCGATCGATGCCACATTCCTATCTACCCCTGCGGTAGTGATATGGTTAATTCTGGTTGTGATCGTAGGTGCTTTTTTTTTTCTCTTGGCGGTGGGCGCCCTGAAAATTGGTAACGAGGACAATACAAAGGAGTGGCTTAATTACAGTATACAGGCCTTGAATGTTCTGTTTACGTACACAGCTATATTTACTCTCGTATGGCGTTTGTCCAATGCTGTACACCTTCTCACCGAGCGTAGAAGCTCAGAGAGGGGTTTGGATATGTATGGCCAGCCCACTATGAGTATCTGGTTCCACTTATCCCATACACGGAGATTGATGATCACATTGACACTTCTTGTAAATTGTGTCACCCAATATCTCAATCAAGCCATGCGACTCGTCTACTTCAGTGTAGAAGACAGTCAATCTATGCCCGGAGTCCTGTTAACAAACCTGTTCTTTGTGATCTCGTTTTTGGCCGGGGCCATCGCGGGTGTGGCGCAGTTAGCAGGAGAGTCGAAGCTGCGTCACTTGCACCCACATATATACCGGTGGAGTGGCATGACAGATCCTGTTGACAAATTATACCGTTTATACTGTAGTATAGTTCATTCAAGAGATGAAGGTCTAAATCTCAGCACAACTAATCTTGGGCGGAGGCGAAGCGCATTTGCGTTTAATCCATTCGGCAAGTCAGCTGTACCCAGGAGAGGTACCACTGGCATAATAGTGGAGGAACCAGTTGATTCCGGGCAGCCAAGAAATGATACTACTAGCATAGTAGAGAAGCCAGCAGATGTCGGAAGATCAATACGAGACCTCGCTGACGTTATCGCTGAGGAGCCAGTGAAGTCGGTCTGATTCGACATTAGCTTGGTCAATCAGTCTTGATATCGCCTTTAATGGAGGCTCGATTTGCCTAGCGATGCTAGAAATCACGGCAGACCTCGATTGAAAAGAAACTTAAATGGTTGGAGCGACTTGATATGCCTACAAGTCGATGCCGACCCCACCCCTTTTGCAAACCCCTGACCTAACACCAGGCTCGTTAAGGAGCGTCGATACTCCATTACTGTATGCTATAGAAGCATGGATTTATGTCTGTGATATGCAAATCGTCTTGGCCCACAACAAAGTGTCTAATAACATTTACCTATTCCAGAGCATGCTACTTCCGATTCGAGCGATGGGAATTGCACTGCACCTCTGTACTGAATATAGTATAGCATATAAAAAGAAAAGAAATAAAGATATTCAGGCATCTCATTTGACGTATTGATAGACCTTACTATATTAAGCATGTCTTGAAGAGTGGCGGTGTGGGCCTGAACCAACGACACCATTGTCATGGGCAATCTTGATTTCAACCAAGTCTTTAAGACTAATGTATTGGCAAGGCCTGGAAAAAAACAAGGTCAGTGAGTGCAAGGTTGCGTGTGCAAAATGGTTCGCGGGTGTTTGTATGGGGCTGACAAGTTATAAGCTCGTACGGTTTTATCACGATTGTTGGATGCCAGCAAAAGATCAGAATACTACGAACAATTCTATCGAATCTTGTCGCGGACAATCTTCCGGGTTTTCAAACAAGATATCTCAGAGGGCGATTAAATATAAATAGTAATGGTCAGCGGAAGATGTATATCGCTTCTGGTTGTGCAGGCATTAATGCTGTTCTGTGTAGTGCTAGACTGGAAGTTCTGGCCTGTCGTTTCCCTACTCCGACCAGAAGAATACCTTATAGTGAAGTGGCCCGTTCGTATACTAGTCTCTCTCCGAGAAAAGACTAATCGTGTATATCACTAAACTCCTATTTCGTTCTTTGTAGAATGGAAATAGCTCAATCGTAAGCTGGGGGTGTAATGCTTTCTCTTCCACTAAATAACGGTAATTTCATACGAAGTGGAAAAATTCTCAAAGGCACACCGGCATGTCGTCAAACTGCTAATACTTGGGAATAAACTCGACAACAGAATTCGCACTGGCAAAATCAGCCCATTTGAAAACACTAAGCTCAAGAATTCGTACCTTTGTGTATTCTGGTTTAGTGTTTTACGATTCGAAAAAAACCTTTGAGAGACAGTATCATTATTTAGAATTCGAAGTTCGGCGATAAATAAACATACGTTAACCTCAAGTACTTCGATAACTTTTTGTTATGCAATATGTCACTATTACATGTGTGCGTTTCACGCCAATAACATCGTGCACGATGATAATTCTAAACTTTTAATCTATGAAATGTTGCTTTTAAGACTGTATATTCATTCGGTCTCGCCACTGCAGTACTGCCCTAGCGCCAATTTTCATGTGATGCCAACGGAGTAATCGCCACAACGGTACAACAAGACCTAAAATGTGCGATTGTATGAGGTATGGACATTCAGGACTGCCATTCTCACATCAAGCGAGTACTGCAGCTAGATGCAACTGATTCTCTGACTGTATGCTGTGCCGGGCCAAGCGGTTGTACATACCGTCGGAGATTGTACGCCTTCGAAGACTCGTTACCTTAGCCTCCTGAAGCGCGCTTATCTAAGGTGATACTTCCGTAATGGGACAAGATCTCTCCTTCTCAGACAAACTCATATATATATATATATATATATCCGTTTGGCATGCTGGTACATCCGCTTCCCGGGACACATACACACCTACTTTCATGCATTATCTACTTGCATGTGGCTATTGCTGTGTGCACGACAGTGTTGGGTCTCGGACACCTTCCAACCAAAACGCAGCAATATATACAGCATCCAATGAGATGATCGCTATACTATTCCAGTGTCGTCAGTGTGCTGCTAAGACTACCCATCTCAGTGTAGATCAATCCAAATTACTTCTAACTTATAGCCGTCTAGCCACGGATCGCGCATGTAATGCTCTCTAATCGTATGCTTATCGAGTACAAACAGCTGTACAACCAGTAATCCAAATCATTAGCAATGAACTATGCATGTATCCCGAAGCGTACGCCGTATGTGCATCACCGCTACACTATGATTATATCCGCATTGCTACACTATGAATGAATCCTCATCAAGTACAAACACAACTCAACCGTCCTCGCCGCATGCATAAAATCTGTGCTGATCGCATTCACCATAATGTGATCGTGTTGGGAAAGTTCCCGGAACATGAACGTCGGTAGATTGCGCATGTACTCATACTCCCATTCATACAGCGATGCATAAGGCAACCCCGAGTTTGGGTTGACATATGAAAACCCGATTAGTGTACTGTTCGCATTCTGATCATCGGCTTCTTCGGATCTTGCGCTTTTATGATAGGTGGTTTCTCCAGTGATGCGATCGTAAACCGCGTCAAATGTGGCGTTGACGTTATTGTTTGGATTGTTCTGCAGCGCATGATAGATAGTAGTGAATTAATTAGGATACTAGGTAAATGAACTGTTCGGTACTCAAAGACTGTGCCTGAGGTTTCGCTACGCTATCTGATCAGACATCAGACCCCGACACCAATCTGACAAGGCCATGGCAGAAAGTGTAATTCAAAGATCACCTTAAGCGACACACAGATCTGACTCTCGTAATTTTAACAAAATACGGCTAGACATTTTCTCGCATATACATTCACTCTTGTGCCACGGTCCGTTTGTCTAGTACTTTTAACTTTCCGCACTTTCGCTGTGAGTCAAAACCAGTACACACAAGACCGTGCCAATCTCCACCGGGCGCTATGAAGTAGTTGATGTCCAGACTTGTCACATCTCCGCAACACCACAGAAGATGCATCACTCTACCATAAAACCCCACTACGCAGTATTCAAGCATGTCAGCCCACGTCAACACAGGCTATACCGCCACCGTAGTTTGGCCCAAATAATACAACTGAGCGCAACGTGCTCTCTAATGCGTTTACTTGTACATATGAACATAGCGTGCACTCCAATGCGATTCCTTACCTGAGTCACATAGAAGTGAGAATGCTGGGAAGCGTATTTGCCCAGATCTTCGGCCACCCATTCGGAATACGCTTCCAGATCGCCACTGCTTCCGATATCTTTGTCCCACGACTCTTGCAAGTGGCCCGAACTGAATTTGCAGGCGAAAATACAAACAATCTGATTACAGAATGCGTAAACCAGAAACACATACAAAAATCTATGTGATTTAAAATAAAAGTGGGCACGGATAACATAAAACTGGAACACCATACGAAAGTATTCAGCCAAATCCAGGGAGGGTGTGGAAATGCAATCCTAGCATTTACCATAATCTGCTCACATGGGCAAACAGATATACTTGATTGCACGCACGGCCGCTACGTTTATCTCACAAGATCACCCTGCGATTAGTCTTTACAGCAGATGCATCTTGTGACTCTGTGCCGGCGCGGACAAACATGAAATATGAAGTTCTGATTGGGCCAGCGTGTGAGTTGAACAAAAACCTCGTTGAAGTGGCGCAAGCGATTGAGCTTTCCTTAGGTGTCTCCCAGGCACATGTGTGTGCATGCACAAGTTTTTACACCCGACTATCGCTTTTACATCTATAGAATCGAGTGTACTGGCGTCTAAATACCCATGAAATTGATAGATACATACATATGTCTTCGTGGTAAAAAAAACCCCGTTTGAAACAAGAACTAATTCGTGTGTGTATAATTACATACATATGCGCATACAGGTATATATACATCCATACAACAACAGAAACAAATATAGATATGTTCGATATACACACAGACGACAAGGATAACATATATATATATACCGCGCCCAAACCGCTCCTCCAGCAAACCATGATTACAGACATACCTGGGAATGATACCGTGAGGGTATGTCTCCAATTGTGGCCCGTAGAATACGCCAAGACGCTCATCCGTCTGATATAACACATGCAGACTAGTCCTCGTCATCCGCTGGAAGTGAGACGGAAGTGAAGTGTACATGATACACACAGGTGAAAAATAATAATAAAGTGCGACAGATAGCTCGTACGATTTAGTACGCAAATGGGCCAAGAATGATGGGCGTGCTATGCGTGTGCGTGTTCACATTTTCAGAAAAATACGCTCGATTTCAAAAATATTAGGTTCGGGTACGTGCAGCCGCGTTCCGCACGAGCAAACCAAACATGCACATACCGACCAGTCGCGAACTAAAATTTCATAAAACCGCTGTGAGATAAACTTCGCTAGATTCTCTTCTTGCGATGCATCGAAGCCCGACAGATCATTGAACCCCAGAACAACAGCTTCCTGGATATGTGAGTGGAGTAAATGTACATTCAGCAAGAGTGTAAGATGAAAAAGGACACATGTTGCGGATAAAAGGGCCCATCCAAGATTGTATCATACAGAATATCAAGACTTGGACAGATGGTCGTGATTCAAGGAAGTATAGTGAAACAACCGGCAGTGGCAAGATCCACCTGTGAACCAGGAATACAATCAAGCCTTCCTCAACATATAAATACCTATAGAAAGCAGAATGACGGATTATCTTTCAAAAAAACACACCAAACAAGCCGAACTCGACCCCTTCCTAACAACAATTACAATATAAAACGCAACACACCTTCGGATGCGATAGTAAAAACTCGCCCAATATGTCAAACATGTCCACCAGAGACATGCCCGTGTACCCGCGATGGCAGTGGTAGATCTGGGACGTGTCTAAAGTACCGTACCAGCTATTCGTACCCCCCGTCTGCTTCTTTTCGGCGTCTGGTTGTTCCTCGCTTTCCCTATCCTCGCTGCCTTCTACCCGCCTCCTGCGCGCACTTTCCATTTGTCCTTCTCGCACCTCTCCCTCCTCGGCATCTGCCGACACATCCGGCTGTGTCTGTGACTGTGAGCCTAGATGACACAGTTTTAAGTGGAAGTATCTGATACCCCCCTTAAGCTGTTCTTTAAATCCCTCGTGGTGGTTCACATTCCACCGTAGGTTCGCGCTGTGAAACCGGCCTTCCGTCACTTTACTTACGGAATCCGCGCCTCTGGTGGCGGCAATGTAATCCTTGAAATCGTCCCATTGACTTCCGGGTTGGTACATCCGGTTCTGATTCAGCAATAGTGTATTGCCGGCATTGTGCGCACCTGGGTATAGATCAGTAGCGGGTTTATGAATTCGGTGTTCGATATGAATGAGTTCAAACACTACTCATCTATTGTACATTGGTCGAATTGTGAACACCCAGCAGATACATGTTCAAACACCCTGTATTGTTTGCAAACATTTGGATAAAGCTAGATGAAAACCGTTGAAATATATATGATACGAAAGTACAACCAACCGTTAGAACAGTCACCTTCAACTGTACCATATACGTACTAACAGGAGAATAAGAAATCACCTGGCCGACTTGATCGTCCAGAATGTCTTCAGCAAGTAGACGTACTCCCTTATAGTTCATTGACAAGAATGCAACCGTAACCGCAACCGAATGTTAGTCGACTTATTGATAAATACATTACCACTATTCATTCACACTTAACTGGTAAAGTAAGGTTTAGAAGGTTTAGAAGAACCATTCAGACTTACCTGGTAAAGTAAGGTTTAGAAGCGACCTAGTTGTAAGGTGCCCTGTATGCACTTCCATCCAATATTCATATGGATACTGTAAAGCCAAATCTGTGCAAGGAGTGGTTTTAGGTATCCGTTAAAAATCCGAGGTAAACTCGTGGCCTATCCCGGTTTACTAGATAGTATTCATTCAATAGCTCAGAACACATGACTGTACATCTTCAATGCATAGCACAAAACTTTCTTTTGACCACCACAAGAAGAAAAAACCCCTTGAATGAGTTTTTTTTTGCGTTCATAGATTTGACCGTTAAGGCAGATGTTATACCCTCAACCCCACAGTGATCATCTTGAATCAATGTGATACTACCATAAACATAACGGTCATGAAAACATGAATAAAAACAGCCAACATGTGCTTGTAAAACGATTGATCGTTTCCGCATATGTCCATATAATTACATATATACTACAAATATACATAAGTACATAATAAATATATA